TAGTTGTTACAGTTATTCCATCTTTCAATGCAATGGTATCATTAAAAGTTCAAAACTCATTGTTACATGAAAAATGGAGGTATTGTTTTTGGCGTGTCTGTCTGTGTGTCTGTCTGTGTTTCCGCACATTTGTAGTCAGCATAACTTCAGAACGCCTTTATAGATTATGATGATATTTGGTATGATGGTAAGTCTTGGGAAGACAAAGTTCAAGGTCAAATATGGGCCTCCTGGTGGATGACCTTGGTACTGCAGCAGAACTTCCAGTTTTTTTTATCTTTTGTCCTGAACATGCTATTGTCTTGAGTTTTTGGTGACAGATAGCTTTTCCTGTCAGGAATAAGTGGTGTGACTTTGGTCCCCCTAGCAGCTTTTTCTGGAACTACAGGGCACTTTCTGGTGAAATCTTTAAAAGCCAATAAGTCCAAATAGGAACAACGTATTTTCATCATTTTTGGTGTGTAGGTAGCTGAGAGAGAGAGTTGTACATAATTAGATGCAAATTATGCAAATGAGGACTTAATTTGCATAATTAATGACAAAATGCTATAAATAGAGTGTTTTATGTAATAGTACTTTTATGCATGTAATCTATTTAATCTGTGGCAGGCGGAACATCAACAGATACGAATTATGCAAATTTGACCTACTTTGCATAATTAATGTGAACATACTGTGACTCCTTATTGGTGAATGATGGGACTTTTATACCTTGTGACATGTGTAAGTTACATGTATTTAAAGGTTAACACCACTATGCATATATTATGTTAATGTGGAGGTCATTTGCATAATTAATGAGGACATGTTGAAATGTATGAAAACGCAAGCCTATATTTCATGGAGGTATGAGATCTCGGAACTCTTGTTTAAATTTTGAACCAGCCTGGTGTGTTGACTTCATGACTCCTAGATCCTATCGCACCATTTTGGGCCATTTTTCTTCCGCCCGCTCCATTATTTTTGTAGAAAAATCCGTTAACCAAGAAATTAAATGTGTGGCCTTAACTTGTTTACGTGTTGGCGGAGAGAACTGTGTACGTGGCAATATTTTCGGAAGACGTGTTCCATATAACATATTTTCTTATTAGGCCACACCAATTTCTTGGTTAACGGATTTTTCTAGAAAAATAATGGAGCGGGCAGGCGATCAAAAATAGAAACAGGCCTAGTCATCCTATTATGGCCCAAAATAGTACGATAGAAGCCATGAAGTCAACACACCAGGCTGGTTCAAAATTTAAGAATGAATTTTGAACTTTTGATGATACCATTGCATTGAAACATGAAATTACTTTAACAAGTAGAATGAAAAGGACTGTTTTCAACTGTTCAGGGCAAAATATGAGCATTTTGCAGTTAATTCTGAATTTATATTTGCAAATCAGAAAAAATGAAGCGGCGAATCCGTTAACCAAGAAATTAAATTGGTGTGGCCTTAGTGGTGTTTATGTAGTCAAGGTTCATATTTAGGCAAAGAAGATGTTAGTATATTTCAGAGTGTAAGGATCTAATATTCTGATCCATGGAGTTCCCCCTGTGGGAATGGTACAATCCGCCACCCCCGGTGGTGAGTAGGCTAGTCCACTTCTTGGACCCGGTTATATCTAGTTCAGTCTACCACATGTCTTCTCTAGAATACACAGTACAGAACACCTCTCGTCTCCTCTCCTCATTTTCTGAACCCTGGGGTGGGGGACAGGGCAAGGAACGGCTTGTTACACTCCCCCCTATCTAAATTTAACTCCTCCTTGAGTTAACAACATTAAGAATATATATTTGTATGTATGTATGTAACTAGAGTATACTACTGAACAAACATCAGATCGTAACTTGAGAACATGTGGGAGAAAAAAAAATGACAATAAAATCTAACATCTTTGTAATTGGCTGTCCGTAGGGTGGTAATCCCTAAGGAAACCTGGCTGGCATTGAACACGTGCAGCGAACAATTCTATGTGTGGAGTCATAGACAATAGAGGAGGATCCGCTATTCCAGCACAATAGAAAACCAGGTATGGAATAAGACGATAACAAATGTATAGCGCTACGTGTGGAAGTTTAAAGCACGTTTCGTAGTATCTGTTGTGGACGTTGCTGGTTGAGAAGTTTGCTCATCCGGACAGTCGCGATCCGGCTGTGCCGTCGGCGTCCTGGCGACAGGTTCTGTCTGGCGTTCTGCCTGACGTGTATAGCAGGGTTTCAACATGTTATAATGCACAGTTTGTTACCTCCATGAAAAATGGAGGTATTGTTTTTGGCGTGTCTGTCTGTATGTATGTATGTGTGTGTGTCTGTGTGTCTGTCTGTCTGTCTGTGTTTCCGCAACTTTGTGGTCAGCATAACTTCAGAACGCCTTTATGGATTATGATGATATTTGGTATGTTGGTTAGTCTTAGGAAGACAAACGTCAAGGTCAAATATGGGCCTCCTGGTGGATGACCTTGGTACTGCAGCAGAACTTCCGGTTTTTGTATCTTTTGTCCTGAACATGCTATGGATTTGATGTTTTGGTGACAGATTGCTTTTCCTGTCAGGAATAAGTGGTGTGAGTTTGGTCCCCCTAGCAGCTTGTTCTGGAACTGCAGGGCACTTTCTGGCGAAATGTTTAAAAGCCAATAAGTCCAGATAGGAACAACATATTTTCATAATTTTTGGTGTGTAAGTAGCTAAGAGAGAGATGTACATGATTAAATGCAAATTATGCAAATGAGGACTTTATTTGCATAATTAATGAGGAAATTCTATGATTACAGTGTTTTACATTATACTACTTTCATACATGTAATGTATGTAACCTATGGCAGGCAGAACATCAGCAGATACTAATTATGCAAATGATGACCTAATTTGCATAATTAATGCAAAAATTCTATAATTTCTTAATGGTGAATAATGGGAATGCCATACTTTGGACATCTGTAAGTTAATCAAAAGTTAACATACATCACGATGCATATATCATGTTAATGAGGAGGTAATTTGCATAATTAAAAAGGAAATTTACATTTACATATCAAGCCCATATTTCATGGAGGTATGAAGTCTCGGAATTCTTGTTTGCGGTTAGTCTGGGTGTTCTTGATCGTGTACGTGACCCCTGATTCTCCATCGGAGAGTATTCGTTCTACGACGACAAATGGGCCTTTCCATTGGGGTCTGAGTTTCCGCTATTGTGTCGTAGAATCATTTGAGCCATACTTTTTCGCCTGCCTTGTATGGTTTGTGGGACGAAGTAAAGTCGTATGCAGCTTTCTGGCGACTGCTCGCTCGCTGTGTGTTTTGTCTCACGTGGGTGCCAATGGTGCAAATGGCCAATGGAAGAAGGCTGGCTGAAGGATGACAAATAACTCACCAACTGCCAACAGACCAAGGTTGGTCATTTTTCCTTTAGGGCTCGTGTCAGGTCCCGTACGTACTGGTCCCTGAGACTATGATATGGAATGTACTGTACTGGGAGGGCATATGGCTTTGTCTTTCTTTGCTCGTCTGACAACAGGACGACTAGAACATGGGTGGCCGCTGGCTGTCTCTTCTTTTTGAACAAGTTGGTGATGTATGACAGCATTCTGGGCTTGTTCCTCTTGTGTTCTGTTATTACTGCGGCTGGGTTGGAGTCACTGGGGTGAAGATTGGTCATTAGGTTGTAATATGAAGTGGAGAATTGTTGAGCCTGGTCGAGATCTAGAAGATTGCTTGTTTCCACTATGTCCCAGTTTAGTTCCTTGAGCTTCTCCTCGGGGGTGGTGGGCACCTTGATCTTCTTGCTGTAAAGGTTGACTGCCGATGTAAGTGACTGTTGTAGGAGCTGGCAGTCAGTCAGACTGAAGCTGGTTTACTAACGTTGTGATGTCATCTTCCAGTGTTTGTCTGTCTTGATGTGATTCGATGTTGTTTGCAAGGTCGATGTGTACTCCTACCTGAGGCTGGCCAGTTTGCCATCCCTGAGATCAATATCCCCATTCCCTTCTCTTGGATTCTTGTAATGCTGGTTTAATGTCCGTTCCATCAACTTTAACCCAGAATCTTCCATTTGGATTTGCTTTGTTTAGGTCTTGCAAGGCCACTTCCTATTAATAAAAGAGGGACAATAAACAAGCCTATATAGCATTGTATTTTATTATACATGTATTTAACAGTCTTATATGATCTTACATCATTTTGAAGCATACAGGATTGAGAGTTATCAAGATGCTCTTTATCGTTGGTAGAGCTTCCCGAATTTTCAGGATTCCAGCGCAGTTTGTGCACTAAATTCTGCGAGTAGCAGTTTTACCCGCCGGGCGCCATATTGGAACGGCCGTATTGGAAAATAAACAAAAACAGTCATTTCCATTTGGGACATTTATCCGCAACTTCGTGAAGCTTTACGTTAATCCTTCAAGCAACGCGAAGAATAAACACCACAGAATGTGTAGGGAAACGCTCGTTGATAAAGCTTCCCGAATTTTCATGATTCCAACGAAGTTTTTGGGTACTTGAGCACGCCAAAGTCTTATAAGCTTATACTAGCGACTGTTACAATACCATAAGGAAGGACCGGCGGCGGCGTCATGAACTATTATTTTGACACCATACAAGTAACAACGCGTCGAGATTGCCTTAAATACTTATGTAATTATAACATTAAAAAAAAACATACCTCTTGGTGTCCATCTCGCAGCGAAGTCCCAGCTGCTAAACTCGCGGACTGGGCGACATGACACCACACCACTACTAGCAACTTTCCCGCCAACATACCGCGCAAAGCATTTCGGGTATCGATTCTAGTGCTGTTATGTAATAGGTTGCTCTTCCCGAGGCTCTCTCTGCTCCCTCCAATGCCTGTTTTGAGGCGCCGCCATTCTTACAGTGTGGTACAAGATGAAGACCAGGCATCCTCCTTTAGGGACGAGTCCTAATGTAGTTGGTGGTAACACAAACATATTCCCAGTAACGTCACAATGGACGGACATCTCGCGAGACTACGTCTACGCGAGAGGTCAGGCCATGTGACAAAACCCTTTCACTTCACCAGTTTTTGCGAAGCCGGACGCGGAGAGGTTGCTGGCGGAAGAGCTCCGTCTTCGGGTTTTTTTCTGACTCTCCACGGTCCGCCATCTCAGCTAGCAGAATGAGCCAAGTTCCAGGGAGGACGGTTCCTACTACTCTCCAAGCAGAGGTTGGTGGGGGAAGATCGTCACCGTTTTATATATGCCTCGTTTTTTTTGTCGCCCCCCACCCAACCTCTGCCCCGAGTCGCAACCTGAAAGGACAAGGGGAGGAGTAGTTCTTTGAGAAATGTGTTGAAGTCCCTCCCCGTGCCCCTATTTTCCGCAATCTGTGAGCTGGGAGCGGAAATAGTTTTACAAGGGTGTCCAGCGCGCTGCGGGACGAATCCAGTCAACCACGCATATCTCATTAGCATGTCTCCATCTGAC